CAAGGCCACACCACAATGAGAAGCGTAAGTGTGCGGAGCCGCGGCTCCCGGCTTTCCCACTTGACAAAGTTTTTGCCCGAATCGTGACTAACAGATTGTAATTCCCATGGCACAAAATGCAGTTTTACTGGTGTCAATGGAAGAGACAATTCCCGTAACAGGATCAGGCTTCAGTTTCCTCTGCTGTCACGTTCATGGGGAGTGTGAAAATCGTCTGGCATCTAAGCCCTTAACCATGGGCTTGAAATGAGGCTGCATTAGCACAATATAAAGTGTTGCTGTCCCTTCCCCACCTGACGGGCCCCTGTGCATTCCCGTTCTCATGTTCCCCGACCCGCGTCCTCGCCGTCATCGGCTGCCGAGATGCGCTCCTGCACGCGGGGCGCAACACATGCAGCAAGGGTGGACACCCGCCTGCGTCTCCAAAAGGCGACCCTTTTTGGATGCCCACAGGCACTTTGCCTTTTACAGACACAAAAACTCAGCCAGGAGGTTCTGCATTTTTCTGAGCATTATGTACCATGGCAGTTTAAAAATGCTGAAGATCATCTTTCCGTTTCTGTCACTAATTGATGCTCCAGATATTTAGGTGAACGAGTCAGTGCCTCATCCCTACTCATGGAGTGGCAGTAATGTGTCTGCTCAGGCTGTTGCTTCACATTACAGCATAAGGCCAATTCCCAGCTCTTCGTTCCTCCTGGCCATGCGCTCCCAACCCTTGCCTTGGGCTGCTCCTGGAACTGGCCAGTTGCACAGAGAACTGTCCCAGTTTGCTAAAAAAGCAGGAGAGTAACCTGGAGGGCAGAGCAAGTGCTCGGGGGCTTGGCTTTGCTCGGGCAAGTGGGTGAGCATGGGGTTAACTTGTCTCCCCAGGACTTAAAACTGCGGGGTAGACGGAGTGGTTGCTGTGTACTTTGCTGGCTCTCAAAATGTGTGGGCTTGTCTGCCTCTGATTGAGTTACCGTTAATTATCAGGCACTCTCATTTTGGAGGATGTCATAACGATACACGTGGGTTTAAGGAAGCAGTGGTAGCACCAAAGCGTGCTCTGGAAATAGTGTATCACACGACTCTCAGTGGAGCCTCAAATATCAAAAGCTGCTTTTGAAAAATTTCAGCCTAAGTCATTTATTTGCTGCTAACTAAGCAGTTGCTTGTTAGAATCTAGAGTCACCCAGCTGCTGGAGCCTTCATGTACCGTCCTCCCCTTGCCTAGAAGAGGAACTGAGTTCCTTTATTTATTTCTACATTTATTTATTCCCATGCAAAGCAATGTTTTCTCAATTTTCCTCCTGACAGTCTGTAATCTCCTGCGTCTATGGGAAGCCACTACCATTTTATTCGGTGTTTGCCATCTCTGCTGCATGTGTCAGCTGAGGAATAATGTGAAGTTTCCTTTCTTACTGGTCCCGAGATGAGCCAAGGCTCTAAGTCAGGCTGAAGCGCGAGGGCTTGGACAGCAGCTCAAGCCGAGCTGAGTGCCACGTCTGCATCATGTCCTGAGCCGTGACATAGAAATAGCTCCGCTGTGACACAGAAACAGCTGGCACCTTCGGCAGCCTCCCTGTTGCAGAGCGCTGGCTGCGCCCTGGTTTGGTGGAAGCACCTCTTCCCTTTGCAGGTGGCTGTCTCGGGGGTGAGGGACAGGGAGCCCTGAAGTACATGGTCACTTTGGTGCTTGTGCCTCAAAATATGTATTGGAAGAGGTAAAGATGGCTCAGAGGAGTCCCAGGCACAACAGGAACACCAAAGGCATGCTGCAGGATCATTCATCTATGAAAGAAAGACATAATAAGATCTAATAGCTGGAAATTGAAGCTAGACACGTTCAAAATAATGGAAACAAAGTGCACATTTTTTAAGACTGAGAGCACTTTAACAATAAGAAGTGGGACAGTGAGTTTTCCATTACTTGAAATCTGTTCATCGAAGTCAAATATCTGTCTAAAATTTTCACTAAAATTCATCGTACAAAGCTGTGTGTAAGTCAAAAATTATAATGTTCGACAGACGAGATCATGCAAGAAAGCAGATTAGATAATTATAGTGATTATTTTGTTGTTAAACATGCACATTTTTGTCCACAACTGACCCAGGAACTGAGTGGATATTGTGAAAGAAGTGTGGTTAACCCAGCAAATACATTATTTTGTTCCTTATCAGTTCTTCATTATAAACAGCATTTTGGCACTTGGCTTGTATTTTGTGATGTAGAGTGCTTTTGTCATCCCTTCTGTGGTCCCTGTGGATAACTCTTATCAAAGTGCTCTACATCAGGTTATCGGCCAGAAGCTGCTGCCCTGCTCTCCAGCAAGGTGTGGCGTTTGCTGGAGGAGAGCCCGGCGAAGCCGGAGGCTTCGGTGAGGCTCTTGCAGCTCTGCTTGACTTACTTTCCATTAAGATTGGCAAGGGTTTGGGTAAGCAGTGAAAACTCAACCTCACTCCGACATGTTGCTGGTTCTCGAGCTGGAAAAGAGGGAACTGAGACTGGCTGAGCAGTTCAGCAACGGGAGAGTTTGCTGTTTAGTGAAGGGAGGACTGCAAAAAACGTACAAGTCCAGCTCTCCCTTAAGCCCCTCCTTCCCGGAAAGGTAGTTTTGGGGCTCTGGGAGAGAAGTTGCTGGTTTGGTTTATTAACGGTAGCTCTCTCGTTGGCGGGAGCTGGGCCGTGGTGCCAGCAGAAAGGAGATGCAGCCAGGAGCCAGGGCCGGTGGCAGTGGCCAGGGCTGTGCTGCGAGGGGGGTGTCAGTGGTCCGCAACGAGAGCGTGGCTGGCTGTGACCCTTCTCGCACCCGGCTCGGATGGTGGTTTGCAAAGTGGCTCTTCTGCCTTCTGTGCGACAGAGAAGAAACGCTTTAGCTGATGGGCGGTTCTGCTCTTGTAGCTGTAAGACCAAATTAAATCTCACAGCAAAGAATCCTTCACATAAGCTTTTACAAACATGAAGCGAAATACAGTATCAGCCTTTTAAAAAGGAGGAAATAAAAATAAAGCAAGAGTTTCAGATTCTGCCGTTCATCTCCCTTCCTCTTTAGATGAAACACTTCCAGTTTCTTGGCTGATAGGGACTTTAATTCAATATTGGCTGGTAGCTAGCTCTGAGATTAGGCAGAGAATTGACACTGATTTGTTAGGCTTACAGAGCTTATATTCAGACTTCAACTTCGGGCAGAAAATGTTTGGAAATAATAAGACATAGTGTTAGACCACGCTCCAGCGGCTCAGGTCCGCGCTCCCCACAGCGTCTGGTACGGCCGTTCAGCCTGGTGGGGCTCAGCGTGGGCAGTCCCTGGGCTTGGCCACCTTTACACACTACGGAGGTGGCCTGTCACAGCACTGTTCCAAACCTGTACTGGCAGATGCAAAAACAGAGGAGTGATTCGGATTGGCCTTTTGGGGTTTTTAGGTCTGTAGGCAGCTTCATTTCTCTCATCTGCTGGCTCCTGTGTCTGCCTGTCAGTATTTGTGGAGGTCAGTGCTCTGCCTTTCTTCACTTTTTCCTCTTATCTTCTGCCTGGATACTGTTTTTCATCACAAAGTGCTTATGCCTTCGGAGTCCCAGGTGGGCTTTTGCGACCTCGGAGCTTCGTATCAGAGGACCTGCCTCTCTGGGGCAATCACTCTTTATGAGCTTTTCTGACGTGGTTTAGGGACAGCATGGCTTGTCATTTGAGCCACCGTATGGCTCAAAGCTGCCGAGATTGTCTGTACTTTCCTTTTGGCATGTCAGATGGTGGTGAGCTGGAAACCATGGCTGGGCAAAAAATCCCACTCAGTGCATTGGAGGAACAAAGGAAGGGACAGAGAAGTGTATGTGCTGCTTGTTCCCATGGTGGCTTATCAAGATTAATGAAATGCAATTTCAGGAACGTGTTGACATGTATCAACATAATTAACACATCCTTGGTTTTGGCTAATCTCGAAGATAAGCTCAACCTGAGTTAAACCAAGTTTTAGTCTGTCTCGCTGCCACGTGGGCGCTCTGAATTTGACCAAGTACCAGGGAAACGCAGCAGCTCCAGCGAGGGCGTGTGACGAGGAGCGTTAGGCTCTGCTCTTCCCCTGGCATCCACAAACCTTTTGCTGGCGTAGGCTTTTCTCTTTGACGTGGTGGCAAAGAGTTGCCACATGCTCCTCTGCACCTGAGACAGCCCTCCTGCCAAGCTGTTTTACGGAAATGTAGGCGGTTTCTTTCTGCTGTATATTCAGGATTAACTTTTCATATATCCCAGGAGTTCCTCTTCCGCTGTTTTATCCTTCTTTAAATGTGTACAGGATACAGATGAGTATTAGATGTACTTCTAACACAGGCAGAGGTGTACAATTTAAAGGGATTGAGAATAAGGGATTCCCTATTACTATGTGGGTTTTAGTAGTAATTTGATCATATTAGTGTGCATTTGAAAAATAATTTTTGAAAGATTTATTGAAGTAGGACTCATATTTTCCAGCAGGTGCCCATCTTTCAGGAAAGCATCATCACAGAAGTAGCAGTTCTCTGCAATAGGGCTGCTTTCCGTGCCACCAATGATGATAATTGCTTTTTCACAATTACAATTACTGCTTATACGGAAAAGGCATCTTAGGAAAATGAATTAATGTGATTTTAGGTAAATAGGCGTAGAGCTGAGGAGGGAGCCCATGCTGCGGATGTCGGTTTGGGATGCATAATATTTTCACTCCTCACTGCTGAGGACACAAATAAGGGGAAATCTCTTAACACAATATGATCGAGAGAAATGAGAAGCTCTAAGAAATGTCCAGATTGTCAGCAGAGCAGTGCCAGCGTTTCCCCGACACAGTACAGCCGGCACTACAGCGGGAGCGGGCATGAGGCACTATTTCGGGTCGGATATAATCAGAATATGAGTTTCTGACCAACAGCTGCTGTGTATTTCAGAAGAGCTAAGGTGAAATGGAGTGGAGACCCCGTCCCGTTTCTCCTCTGCTGCTTTTGGATTATAGACCTGGCCAGAAAAGATCGATAGTAGTTGATGTCAAGTCCTAGCTGAAGCATTTTTTTTCTGAGATAAACTTTAACTGGGTGATCTGTCCTTTTCTTACTCTAAAATGTTATCCTGCTCAGTCGCGCAAATGCTCAGTCCCTTGGCAGCTGATTTCAGTCACAGAGAAATCCATTCCTGTATGTAGTTCGCATTTTAATTTTTTCAGGTTGTGTGGTACTTTGAATGTCTTTGGGAACATAAAATTTGAATGCCTTGAGAAAAATGAATATTTTCTTACTAAAAATGGTATTCATTTAAAATGTAGCTGTATCTTCAGGGGAAAAGAAAAAAAAGAGTACCTGGTATTTCTTACGGTTGAATGTATAATATCTAGAAAACATGACTGTAAACTCACCGCCTGTCTTCTGGGGTCTGGTAAGATGCTGCCCTGTTTGCATTAGGGCAGGGATTATTACTAGGAACGCTCGATGCCTTTGCAGCAGTATGCTCTTTCGGATGCAATGGCAGCTGTGTCTGATGGCTGATGATTCTTGGTTTTTGACGTTTTTTTAGAGGAGAACAGGAACAGTATCATCAACTCCAGCCTGGAATCCGTCATCTCTTCAAATGTAAACAGCTTCCTCAACTCCAGCAGCGCTCCCCAGCCCAGCCTGAACTCAAGTGATCTTGAACTAGAAGTAATTAAACCCAACAGGCCAAATTCACTGTAAGTACAGGGGTAATTAGTGTTTTATAGGCTCTCCGTCCTTAATCTTTAATCAGGGCTGTTCCTTACTCTGAATCCCAGCAGTTTGTTGAAGAATACAATTTAACATTTTAATTTTTAACGGGCGCCTAGCGTGTGCCCTGCATTTTTAACTCAGTCTAAGTGGTGGAATTAGTTACTGGGTGTTATATCTGCCGGCGAGTTTCAGCTCTGATTATTTTGCACATGTGGAATATTTTTCGAGCAGAACTCCACATTGCTGCTTGAACTGCTCGACCCATCTGGTGATAACTCCAGCAAACACAAAGGACTTTTCTTCTGAGTTAAATTCTATGACTGTTGTCAGTACAGTTGATCTCTGGCCAAATCTGTGCCATTGCTTCTGCTATTGCTTCCTTCATCTGGAAAGTTCAAGGGAAAAAATAGCGACCTTAGCAATGACTCCCTGGGGACGGCCGAGTTATTTATGAAGTCCCCTGAACTTGACACAGCTGAGCCCTCGCGCCGATGGCCGTCTCTGCTGGGGGAATTTCCTTCCTGCTGTGGCTCTGCCGGGCCCGATAGCATTTTCCCACAGAACCTCCCCTCCTTGTGCATGTGAAGATCTGCTTAGATCTTCAAGAGCCATTGCAGTCCTTGCAAGCTGAAGCCAATTTTCCTCCCAGCGCTCCTCGGCACGCCCCTGCCTGTCCCCGCGGATCAGCTGGGAGGAATGCTGCTCCCTCCATGGCATTTTATGGCCTTGCCTATGTGGCGACCTTCTCAATTAAGGGAGACCTTCCTTCCCACCCCTCCGGTCCTCCCACGGGCTCCAGACACTTCCAGTTCCCACTCAACCATAGAAGCCCCCAGTCCCTTGAGAGTAGAAAGTGACATTTTTCCTTTAGCTGCTCTCTTCTGGTTATCAGTGGAAGGATTGCTAAGGACTCAAAATGGATAAGTGCCATGGCAGGTTCTGGTAGAGATTGTGAAACTTGTTGCTGTTGGCTTGGTTGGCAGCAAGGGTTGGGGTTTTGGGGGGCTCTGGGGTGCAGCCCTCGCTGCCAGCGTGTGGAGACGGCTCAGGCCCCTACCTGCAGTGGTTTGCACGGGCAGAAAGGTAAGTACGCAGCAGGCAGCTGGCGCTACTGCCTGCGTGAGCGTGTGTGTCAACAGAGGACAGGCTCTGGCTTTCATCCATCCGCTCTGCCTCTCTCCTCACCATTACTGCCACTAAAACCCTGAGCTGCATGAGTACCAAACCAGCCCAGCCTCTTGCTGACCTCGCCTGGTGTTGGCTCCGGGAACGGGGTTTGTAAGGCTCAGCTCCGTGCCTCGCCTTCTGCTGGGGATTTACCTACTGCGAGAAAGCCACCTGCAAGGAGTCTTGTGGTGGCAGAATAGAGCATCCAAAAGGTAGGATGGCTCTAAATTAAGGTTGCGCATTATGTATGTTATGTACTGAGTAAAGATGCGTAGATATCTCATGTCCGTACTGTCGGTTGAAGCTCTGGAAGTCAGTGACATACCATTCCCCCAACGGGATGTTTTTAGTTTATTTATCCTTCGAGGGGAAAAAAATTATGTGACTTATAATACAGCAGGGTTTCTGAGCCCGAGTCTTGCTGTGACCTCACAGGAACTGTTTGCCAAGTTCGCAGTTTTTCAGATTCCAAGAGTTGCCTCTTCCTAATAATTTCTTTTTTAAAGGAAATCATAAAGAAGTTCAGCAGAATAAATCAGTTAAAGCTATGTGGGGCTTTGGGGAATGGAGGCATCTTGCTGTTACTGAGGAATCAAGTGAGCAGACCGGCAGTGAAACCATTTGCTTGCCACCAGTTAAGGGGCCTTTACAATTCTGTGAAGTGAAATAGTGATTAGCAGGGTAGCACCGGCAGCTCTTATGGCTCTGACAGTGTTTGTGGCATTTGGTGCTTTTCCTGAAATCCAGTACACATGTAGGAATACACAAGTTTTCCGTCAATGTTGAGCTAAAGGTTGAAAAGTGAGTCTCAAGGTAATACCACAATGCAAATATTTTCTTCTCTATAACCTCAAATATTTAAATCAAATACCTTTAATCCAATCTTTCAATGAGAAATGAAGCATCTGACTTAATTTCATTCTTTTTAAACAGTATGTATACATGTCACTTCAGCCCCTCTGTGCCCGCTTACCCATGAGCACAAGTCTGTGCCCATGATTTCGGTGGGTCCGTGGCGTTTTGCTTTCAGTGGTCAGCGCTCTGCGGGGGTGTGGGTTTGCGGGGGTGTGGGTTTGCAGTGGTGAGGATGAGGAGGGTGAGGAGAGCTGCCAGCAGCAGGTCTATCCCCCAGCCCTGCCCCGCGGCTGTTTACAGGCTGCAGACTGGGTCGGGGCAGGGTGTCTGAATGGTGCCAGTATCCCGGCGGCTTTGTCGTTGCTGCTCTGCGGGACTACCCAAATAATATCTGTATAAAGCTGCTTCTGTTTTTTTAACCAGCTGAGTAATATGGGCTTTGCAGGAAGCCTTGGGCAGCTATGCACACTGCAGCTGGTCTGTAGTATCTGTTACTGCCGTGCAAGAGGTTCTGGTGCTCCCCTGTAATTAACAGACCCACAATTAGGGTACACGGCAGCGGGGAAAGTCTCAGGGTGCCTTGCCCTTTGTGCTCCTTCAAATACTGTGCCAAATTCTCTGCCAGTCCTGTGAGACCCATCTTTGAGCTCTGCTTCAGGACTTTGGGTTTTTTCCTGCGTTCTTCACCATTTTCTGTAATTTTTCGGCGGTGGACCAGGGCCATCCTGTTTGAGGACCCATTCAGGAGGGGCTGGCTTTCCTGGCAGCCTGCCCATGAGCCGATCAGCTGCCTGAGCTGGGAGCCAGCACTCGCCAAAATTCAAACCCTGCAGCTGATGAGCTGTAAAATTCCAGGTGTGCGGAGGCCAGGAAGTCCCATTTTCCTCCTTGAAAGAAAAAGGGATTTCTTTCTGAACAAGAAACTCTTTAAGAGAACAAGTACAAAAGAATCCTGGATTCGGTGTTCCTTTTGAGAAAGGGACCTCTGCTTTCCTAACGGGACAACAGCAAAGGTTAGTAAATTAAAAACTCCTCGACCAGAATTTGACCTACTCCTTATTTTCTGCTAAATGCATCACTGAAAAAAATGGACTGTTGGAGATTTCCACGCAGGGGAAATGCCTTCATTAATTAGGGCCTTTCCCTGCTTTATTCTGAGGTTTGGTGCCTTTAGGTGTTGGTGCATCTCTTGCCCTTCGCCTGCGTGGGCAGGGTGGCACGGTGACCCCGGTGTCCTGTCCGGCCTCACCGTCCTGCCAGGCCCCAGTCTCAGCTGAAGCTGTCCTGAGATGGGTGCCCACCTAGGGAGGGCAAAGGGCAGAGCGGGCACACAATGAGCCTTTTGGTGTTAATGTCGCTTTGAAACCTTTGCGTATGTTGTCTCATGGCATCAGTGAGTTGCACATCAGTGGCTTTGTGTCACCTCCTCACATGTGCTATGATTCGGGCAGAGTGTGACCGCTGTGAAGGGGAAAACACATTTTTTTTTGCTGGCCACAAGGTACCAAACTCTGGTCTGGGCTCAGGGAAAGCTGTGACATGGTGTTGCCCCAAAGGGATGTCAGCCTTGGAGCTGCTCTCCAGCCCAGGTGACAGCAGGGATGGCTGAGACCATCAAACCTTTCCATCATTAGTTGCCTCCTCCCCACAGGCTGCAGCTGGATTCAGTGGTTCCACCTTCATCCTCTAAGCCTTGGTAGAGCCCCAGTGGGGTGTCCCCACACGTGATGTTTCACGTTGGGCACGGTGGCTCCGGACTGCATGGGAGCTGTGGCACAGCTACTTGCCCTCTGCAAAAGCGCTTTGGGAAACTGCAGGGAAAGGAGTTGGATCATTTTGAGGTTCTTGCTTCTTATTAAGCTGAAAACTGATGTTCTTGTGGAAACAACTCCTGTTGATCTCAGTGGGAGACTTGCTGGAGTACAAACGTTAAGGACTGCAAGTCTGGGGGATTTCTAATTTTGTTTTGTTTTTTTTTTTTTCTTCTGCTGCAGTGAGCACCAGCGCATTCAAAGGTTGCCTTTAAATGTGCAATGCTAAAAATTGTGAACACTATCTGTGAAATTAGAGATGTTTGTTTGAGCTTTTGTTTACAAAAGCCTCTCAGCTCCTTTCTAAATGCTTATGTGTCCCCCAGGTCTGCTCCATGGGGAGCTGAGCCCGTTCCTAAATCCCCCTCGCGAGTGCGTGCCGCTTCCCCAGCCTCTGGGCGCGATGAGCGTTACGGCAGCGCCCACGGTGGGGCCGAGGTCCGCGCACCTTGGTGCCATTGCCCCGTCCTCCTCCCAAGGGGAACACGGTTGTTCTCAGCCTTGCCTTCCCTCGAGCATGGTCCTCCTTCACCAACCAGGAGGGAAATTGTTTTGCTGGAGGGCAAAGGCTCTTCCTTCCCAGCCACCAATCGGGGTTTTACTATGGGAATGCATTTATTTATTAGGGCTGGTTTTATTTTTATGGAAAAACTGCTCTGGGCGGGAGTTGTACTCGTGAGTCAGCAGGACTGCTGTCCCATGCCAGGAGCTGTCACTGCGGCGGCAGGGCGCGGAGAGACCGGGCTGGCTGCCGGGGCCACCAAAGCCCCAGGGAGGGGGATTTGTTTCTAAATAAGCATTGAGTTTCTTTATCCTGCTGTTGCAGAAAATGTCTTCCTTAGAAAACATGGCAAAACAAGAACCAGAAGTGCTGTGTTTCTAGCATGGATACATACTTCAGCTGAAGCGGGGGAAATTTTCAAACTAAATTGTGTGATTATGAAAAGCAGAAGATTTAAGATTGTGGTTTTTAAAATCCCTTAAAAAAAGCGCCTTGCTATGGTAGCTTTGCAATGCATACCTGGGAAGCCTCCGACGTGGGGTGTATCACTGCGGATTACTGACACCTTGGTTGGTGCCTGCTTTGTATTTTTTGTTCTCTGTTTTATTTATTTATTAGTCTCATCTGTGTGCCCTGTATTACTCAAAGA